CATTAGATTGACTGAAGAAGGCTATGTAAAAACGAGGAAGATAGAGCTTAGGACATCCAAAGTGAAAAACTAGGAATTGATGTGTAATAATGTCTATCCAAAAGATTCTATGCATAGTTTGGAGACAAGAAGAAAGTGTCTAAATGCTTATGAAGTTTAAATAAACGTGACAATATCTTCAGATACTTTTTTTCATCTGTTTCCAAAAATTTTTACATATACTATAGAAATAAAGCAGCTGTTATCTTTTATTGAGGTCCTTTCTTACTTACTTCTAATGTTTAAGAAATTATTAAAACAGCCATGGGCTGACTCAGTCTCTCATTATGTACCAAAACATTCCCAGAAGCTCTTGTTGATCGACCAAGCAGACAAAGAATGCAAGGCAGACATGATTGAAATGTATGCATTTATCATAAATTAAAGATCTTAATTGGAAACAGACACCCAATGCAGAAATCTTCCATCTGTTGTTGGTAATATTAACATTAAAAATGTCAGTACAGTAAACTCATTAATTGCATATTTCAGGATTGGTAAACCATTAACTTATATCTGAAAGGGCTCAGTTAGCTCATATTCTGACTACATATAATATGAGAGGGGACTAATCACACTGACAGATGACACTGGGAATTTTCCAAGAATGAAATACTATGCAAATGGGATATGTTTTCCCATACTCATTTACCTTTTCTCATGAACAAATCATTAGGGGTTCTCTTTTAAGACTGTCTAAATTTGGAACAAGGGACAAATTCATAAATATCTTGAATAAGACTTCAAAGTTCTTTACTACAAAACTCATGAACTTCCATGCCCTGACTATGAAAACAAAACTAACTAACTAACTAACTAACTAACTAACTAACTTAACTAACTAAGTCTGAACATTGATTGGAATCCTGCTAGAATTTTAAATAGGGCCTACTCAAAGCATGGTCCCTTAACATCCATATGATCAATGTCATAAGCTGGTTTGAAATGTAGAATTTCAGTTCCATACTCACTGAATTTACAGTGAGGACAAGGTTTCTGCTCATTTACTAGTTCTGTGGGTGATTAAAATATCCACTGATATTTGGGAAATACTGGTATAGCTTACTACACCAAGAAATGGACTTTCATGTTTTGACACCTTTACCCTTCTTCAGTTGTCCAAACAAGCTAGAGTAATATCCTTGGGCCATAGCCAAACAGTGATGATAAACAGAATAGTTTATTAAAAGGCAAAATTCTATAATGGTTTAATGTACTTTTATTTTCCCCTCCTTTCTTCTCATTCCCTCATACCTATCTTACTTCTATCTTGTCTTCCAGATTCATTCTTTTAATTATCTCTTGATTCTCAGGTCTTCTCTAGGTCCCTCTTATGCAAGGAAGCATTAAATTCTGTCTACATCCTGACAGAATATAACTTTTCAATTCTTTCTGTTTAAATGTCCTTCTTACTTCATTCATAACAGTAATTAATTGTTAAATAAAACTGGTTGAACATTCAGAAAAGTTTTATTTATTTAAAATTTAACGCTTTATTTGGGATTACTTTTCATATAATTGCATGTGCCAACCCTAATACTGAGTGCAACAAAAGTGGACATAAGTTAACTCATGTAACCAGAATCACAATTAACATATCACATCACCATTTTCTCTCATGCCTCTTTATAATTAATCCTCCCCTGACTCTAGGCAACCACTGATGAGTTTCTATTATAGATCAGATCTTCCTTTTCTAGAATTTTGTATAAATAGGACAGATAATGTTCAGCCTTTTGTATCTGAATTCTTTCACTTAAAACAATGTTTTGGCATTCTTTCATGATGTACCATTGTTGATAGTTCATTGCATGTATAGACCTTGGTTTATGTAGTCATTTGATGACTGAAAGCCTTTTTAGCTATCATGAGAATATTCTCATGTTCATAACATCTGGTATTTTCTGGTATGAATTACAGTATACTGAGGTTGACATCTGAATGATACCCTATATTTTCCAGTGGTGAATATTACAAAAACAATGATGGAGGGGTGGTTGGGCCATTCAAATGCAAACAAAGGAGTTGAAGGGATGAATTTGGGCCATGCAGAGATCCCTGTTTTTTACAGCAATGAATCTCATTTGTCTGCTGTGACTGAAGAAGACCACAGATACTAGACTCTTCAGCATTCCTGCTTTACTGAGAGAGACGAAGGAAGTTTCTACTTCATCCTCCCAGTGTGTTGCATCTACATTTCTCTAATGTGGTATTCAAATATTAATGCAGCCCCAGTGGAAAACATATGTAAGTCCAAATGAAATGCCAAAGGTTCCTAATGACTGTTAACAAACCTTGTTTAAGTGGGCTTGTTCATTTGTTAAAAAAAACCCCTCCTCCTTCCTGAGCTATTCAATTGTTTATTTTGTGAATGTGCATTCTTGGCCTGCAGAGTATCCTTTTTATTTGTCAAAGCTGAGTCATAAAGCTGTTGTTTGGAAAAGGCGTTAAGAACTTTAGTTCAAAATTACTCACTTTTTAAAGTGTGTACTTACATTTTTAAAAATCAAAATTGTATACTCTCAGAGAGGAGAGCTCTCAAGCACCAAGAGCTTTGGGAAGAAAGTCTATAATATTTTTATTATTTTAAAGAGAAACAGCAGAGTTTAAAGGAAATGGAGGTCCTAGGATAACATTATCAAAGAAGCATTTGGGACTCTGTGAAGTGATCAATCTGAATTCATTACTAGATTAATTGTTTTATTGATTTTCCTTTGGGAGGTCATCTCAGTTGGTGATCCTTCCAGAAAGAGTCTGTGTCAATTGCTCCAGGTCATACAGTTAGAGAGACACCCAGAAGTCATGGTAGGAGAGTGGGAATTGACAGAGAGAGGTGAGAGAAGTGGATGCAGACTACTTTGTCAAACCTGTTGTCTCTAGAGAACTATGGGGTTCACATCCACTGAGAAGCCCTTAAAGCCAGCGGAGAGTAATCCACATAGCTGTCTACTCTATTCCATCCCCATAGGGCAAGGAAGCTTTTGTTGGTTTGTCACTGGCCAGGTCTTGACACTCACAGAAAAGTATGTGCTAAAGGCCAGTAATCTGAACACCAATTGCACCTGTTACAGAGCTCGTTTTCTGTTGTGTAAGTTCTTTTCCACTTCGAAATGAGCAATGTAAAAAGAGTCACCATATAAATGTTATCACACATATTCCCAAGTGTCATCTACCACTCATACTCTACTGATCTTGTTAAGCACGTAATCATTGTTCTGCTTTGAGAGTTACATAATTCAAAATGATTCCCTTTAAGATCATAATAAAAAAAGAAAGATCCCACATGTAACTGAGCCCTTCTTTTATTTCTGCTGTAGCAAAACAATATATATATACTAAATTACTTCCTAAGTGACTAATCAGCTCTATTGAATTCTGTTTGTAAACAAAGGAATAAATCACTATTCTTTAGAACAAAAGTTCTGCATAAGATCTAGAATCTACATTAAAAAACATCTTTGAAATATGCATTCTTGTAAAATTGAGTGGAAGCAGCATAAACATATCGGGATAATAATTATTATATAATTGCATGAAGTTTAGCACAAAGCTTTCAAGATCAAGTCAGTATACAGAGACAATTTTCATCTTCAACCTGTTCTATTTTTAACCCTGATTGTTTGAACTATTTAGGAAAAGGATTTTGTGAAAGAAGTATTTATGAGAGTGAATGAGGCAGTGTGATCCAAAAATCCCAATATATTAAAATTCTCATTGTACTCCATATTTAGGGAATTTAGATGTCTGGGTAAAGGGCTGGAGAGATGGCTCAGCCATTAAAGGCTAGGCTCACAACCAAAATTATAAGATATCTGGTTAAAAGTAAAATTGTAAACAATAACAAAAATGCCCTCACATTTGATTTTGTCTTTTCATCACTCTTAATGCAAGATGTCATGGAGTCAGGAATGACTTGGGTTTTCCAACAAAGACCTTTTGCTGTAGTTATTTTACTGTAGTTCATGGCCTCTATCTCTTAAAAAATCACTTTTAGGTCTATATGAACAGTTTTTCCTCTTGATGTTTTTCACTTTTGATTTCTCACTGTTTACAAACATATGAGAGTTTATTATATCTTTTATTTAAAAGCAATCTTTTTATTTTACATACCAATCCCAGTTTCCACTCCATCTCTAAATACTGCTCCTTCCATTCCACCTCGCCTCACCCTACCCCACATCACCCCGCCTCACCCCTCTCCACTCCCCAGAGAGGATGAGGCCTCCCATGGGGAGTCAATAAAGTCTGTCACATCACATTGAGGCAGGACCAAGATACTCCCCCACTCAGCTGTATCTAGGCTGAGCAAGGTATCCTTCCATAGGGAATGGGTTCCAAAAAGCCAGTTCAAGCACTAGGGATAAATCCTGGTCCCACTGCCTGTGGCCTCAAAGACTGGACAAGCCACACAACTGTCACCCACATTCAGATGGTCTAGTTTGGTCCTATGCAGGTTCCCTAGCTGTCAGTGAAATCTCACTAGCTCAGGTCAGTTGTTTCTGTGAGTTTCTACATCATGGTCTTGACCTCTTTGCTCCTCCCTGTCTTCTACTGGACTCCAGGAGCTCAGCCCTGTGCATAGCTATGATCTTTGCATCTGCTCCTATCAGTTACTGGATGAAGGTTTTATGATTACAATTAAGGTAGTCATCAATCTGATTACAGGAGAAAGCCAGTTCAGGCACCCTCTTCACTATTGCTAAGAGTCTTAGCTGGGGTCATCCTTGTGGATTCCTGGGAATTTCCCTAGTGACCAGGTTTCTTGTGTATCCCATATGGCTCCCTCTATCAAGCTATCTCTTTCCTTTCTCTCCCATTCTATCCTCCCTCCAACTTGACCATCAGCAATAGCACTCTTAGAGATATACCCAAAGCATTCACACTCATACCACAAATATATATATATATATATATATATTTTTTTTTTGGTTAACTCAGTGTATTTATAAAATGAAAAGTTCTATCAAAATACTTTTCACTGGAAAAAATAAATAGAACAGACAATGGATCTACTCAAAGTACACATTCACTTTGGTAGACTTCAGTGTAGGACAGTTCATGACAAGCATATTTGTCCTTATTCCCCCAGAGCCGATCAGCTTCCAAGCTAATGGTTAAATCATTTTTAACTGAGATTTTATCGTGTTGATATCTGGCTCATTCCACATCATCTTCAGCCAAGCTCTGAGCACTTACAATTCTCTGACTAATGGTTGGAAGCTTGGTCAGAAGCATCTGGAACACTGGCGGCGGAAGAGTCTGCTGTAACACTTGCAGCAGCTGCTGAGGCTGTCCACACACAGCAATTGCATTTGTCAGGTGGTCTACACCCTTCTCATATTCACCTTGTGCTAGCAACTCTTCACCAAGCTGTATCTCTTCAAGAAAGAATTTTTGAACAGCTTCAGCATCTTTTAAATCAGGCAACTTGGAAAGCCCAGCTCTTTCCTTAGCAAGTTTCTGTTTCTTTCTTCGTTCTCGAAGCCTGTTCTTGAAGTTGGGGTCACTCCGCCTTTTGCGGTCAAAGTAGATGCAGTACCCGATGAAGAGGGCACCGCACACGCCCGCGGCGATGGCACTGTTCCGGCCCACCATCTTCGCTCGGCTGGGGCGTGTGCCGGGCCTCGGAGGCCCGCCAAGCAGCGGTTAGCTCCGACAGACTGGAGCACGCCGGCCGCTCCACCACAAATATATTTGCTCAACTGTGTTCACAGCAGCATTATTTGTAATAGCCAGAACCTGGAAACAACCTAGATGCCCCTAAACTGAAGAACGGATAGAAAATATGGTACATTTACACAATGGAGTAGTAGTCAGCGGTTAAAAACAATGGAATCTTGAAATATGCAGGCAAATGGATGGAACTAGAAGGAATCATCCTGAATGGGGTATCCCAGACCCAGAAAGGCAACCATTTTATGTACTTACTCATAAATGGATATTAGACATAGATATTAGCAAAGGATAACCAGTCTACAGTCTAAAACTCCAGAGAAGCTAAGTAACAAGGATGACTCTAAGAGATATATACATGGATCCCCCTGAGAAGGGAAAATAGGCATGATCTCCTTAGCAAATAGGGAATTGGGGGAGACAGGGGAGGGGTGGGGGAGGAAAACATGAGGACATGGGATGTTTATTATATCTTTAAGACATTAAAATTGTCTACTGCTCTGTAAATGGTTCCCAACAGGTCTGGAAATCTTTATGTCTCAACACAATCAAAGAACAAATATGATCATTCAAGTACATGTAGAGACATGTCACTCAGTTTGAAATATAAAGAGCAAAATAACAGTAAAATGTCACTATCTAGATTTATTTTTTAATTTTAAATACATTATTATTTTATGTGTATGGATATTTTGTCTGTACATTTGTTTGTGTATTATTTACATGCTGCTCTTGAAGAAGGTGGAAAGGGCATTGGAGTTACAGACTGTTGTGCGTCATCATGTGGGTGCTAGGAATTGAACTCTGGTCCTGTGGAAGAGTAGTCACTGTTCTTTCATCCCTACAATATAGATTTAAATTCTATTTCTATTATTATTTTGTCATAAGATCATTTCAAGAACTGATAGATGGAATTGCATGAAATCACAAAACTTCTGTACAGCAGAGGGAATAATCAGTGAAATAAGGCAGGATTGGAAAAATTTTACCAGCTCTTCATTTGACATGGGATTAATGTCCAGACTCTATAACAATAAAAAAATTGAACATTGAAAGAACAAATAATCTAACCAATGATTAGACAAATAAGCACACAGCTGTCAAAGGTTGAAAAATACAAATGGCCAACAAATATATGTAAAAAGGGTTCAATATTTTTGGCAGTCAGTGAAATGCAATTCGAATATACACTGAGATTCTGTCTCACCTGTCAGAAAGGCTACTATGAAGAAGACAACAAATGCTGACAATGCTAAGAAGGAACATTTGTGCACTGATGGTGGAAATATAAATTTGTCCAGCAGCCAGGATTATCAGATCAGCATGGAGCTTCCTCAGAAAACAAACACAAGGACTAAAGAGATGGCTCAGCATATAAAAGGGCTTATTGCTCTCCCAGAGGACCAGAGTTAGGTTCTGAGTATCCACTTCGTGCAGCTCACAGACTTTTATCAGCTGCGACTTCTGCTCAAGGGAATCTGATTCCTTTGGCCTCCACAGACACTGTACTCACATGCACATATCCATATACAGATGCACACACATACACATAATACAAAATTTAAAAAACTAAGTACCCTCGAACTAGTTCTTCCAAACAGCCTCCTAAGAAGATAAGAATGCGTTCAATTTTGGATGAACTAGTGCCATACAGTCTGTGACATTTAATAACATAGTTATTTCAACTACTTCATGTTATGAGGATTTTATTTGTTCATAAACCCAAATCTACAAAACCATCATATAGTGCTTTCTTATGTAAGGCATATCTAGAGTGGGAACAGGCTGTATTCATTCCCTTAGATCCCTGTAACTTCCTATATGTTTTACTTTCAATAGTTTGAACTTGTACTCTTTAGTGGGGCATCTACTAGGCTTCTGAATTTACTTCATCAATGTAAGGGAGAGCTAGAATGCCTAGGGTTTTGCATGCTCTTAGATATCTCCCTAGGCAAGGACTGATTACTAAAGAGAAAGAGCTGAAAGCCCAGTCACATTTGCCTCAAGGTGGGACAAACTCTGAAATGGAAAGGTTCCATGTAGCCAGGCTGAGATTGAGCCCTCACTTGAACCATTCCCCTGCTTCTAGTTCCTATCCTTCTCTTCCCAGTCTTTTGTCATTTTTTCTAGAAAGGCTTCTTCAATAAATCATTTACATACAGATCTTTGCCCCAAGTTTTAGTTCTCAAGTAATGCTAGCACTAGAAATAAAATGCAAGTAAAAAACATGAGCCATATATGTGATTTAAAATCTTCTATTGGACACAGCCAAAGATAGAAGGAGGGCTGCGGTGGTCACTTGGTAGCTAAATTACTTGCTGTGCAAAGATGAAGACCCGAGCTCAGGTCTCCAGCAACTATACGAAAAACACGGCCTGACAGCACATGCCTGTAATCTCAGGATTGGGAGGCAAAAACAGGAGGATGCCAGTTCTGACTGACCAGTCTAGCCAAATCAGCAAGCTCGAAGTTCACTGAGAAAATCTGTCTCAAAACATAAGGTAAAGAGTGATAGAGGGAAATATTTGGTATCATCCTCATTTCTGGCCTCCTCAAATACATGCACGGCACACACACACATATGAAAAGTAAAAAAAAAGTTAAATTAACTTTAATAATACATAATAAATACAATAATAAATTAATTTTAATAATATGCATAATAATTTTAAATATACTTTTAATAATTTAATTTAATCTTGTATATAAAATGTCATTCAATATAAAATAAAAATATCAATGCAATGTTTTACATTTCTTCATATTATATCTTCAAAATCAGGTATGTACGACCATGTAAGGATGGAGGAAATAGGATGTAGAGCCAAATTTCACTGCTTACTAGCTATTTGTGGTATGGACACTATTTTATACAGCATAGATTTGGAGGATTCAAATTAGGAATAAGTTACCATACTTAATTTAACTGGTGTTTTATTAATGGCCTGCTGAATATTTGAGAGCCTAGGATGTTTGTAAGATTATGTTTTATGATAAAAATCGCTCAAGAGTGTTTTCATACATTAAATTGTCATTTAGGGAAGTTGTCAGTTTCTCTTTATCCTTGGCAACAATGAGTTTCTTGGTTACTGTTCTATTGCTATGATTAGACACCATTACCAAGGCAATTTATAAAAGGAAGCATTTAATTGGGGGTTTGCTTATAGTTTCAGAGGGTGAATTCATGACCATCACCATGGAAGGCATGACAACAGGCAGGTAGGCAGGCATGGTTTAAGGGCAGTAGTTGAAAACTTGCATTCTTATCTGCAGACAGGAGGCAGACAGAGAGAGAGAGAGACAGAGAGAGAGACAGAGAGAGACAGAGAGAGACAGAGACAGAGACAGAGACAGAGAGACAGAGAGACAGAGGACACAGACATAGAGACAGACAGAGACAGAGAGAGACTGGGCATAGCATAGGAATTTGAAACTTCAAAGCCCACTTGCAGTGACTGACACATGTCCAATAAGACTGCACTTCCTAATCCTTCCTGTATTAGCCTTTGGGGGCAATTCTCATTCTCATTCAAGCCACCACACTGAGTCTTGTTAGCTTTTCTCATATTTGTAAATCTGATACTGACTGTTTAAACTTTAAATATCACTTCACCTTTAGCAAACACAGAAACAGGTTTCCCTTTCTTTTCTCCTTCTCATTAACCTTGAAGGCAGTAGATTGATAGGAACTTCCTATTGCTGCTCTTATCCGAGGTATGAAAGACTCCTGCACATACATAAATATTTAATATTACAGCACATAAAATATAATTCTACACTGTACCCTCATCCTCTATTAAATTATATTTGGTAATAATCTAAAAATAGTCTGTAGGACATTTTCATTGATTCTTACAACCCGGCATACCTGTAGAGTATGATTTTGAAAGAGAAGATTAAGGAAACTAGAGGCAGTTACAGTTTAACAAAAATTGAAGCCACAGCAAAAAGAAAATATGTTGTGTAACACGTTACAAACACCCCAATTTCATGGACTATTTGCCAATATTTATTTCAAGGTTCATATGGATATTGATTTTTTTAAAATAAGGAAGATAGCTAAATGAACTTAAAGTAGCCTATAAAACAATTTCCTGGACTCTCGGTTGTTTATGAATCATTTTGCAGTAAAAGTGAATCATTTTTCATGACTCAGGATTTATAGATTCTGAGGCCCAATGGTGGGTAGAAATGCCCTATTCCTGATATAAAATTTATCATATGCTCAAGGAAGCCCACTTTGTGTATGTCTAAATATTTAACTCTTTAACTGGGAAAAATCTATACACTGGATCTTGTTCTTTGGGGAACATTTTGTACCTATATTATCATCTAAGATCACATGGATATAGTTTTTCTGTTTGTTTTATCTTGGTTTGATTTGGTTTTGTAGCCTAAACTGGCCTAGAACAATCTAGGGATAAACTAGATTAACCTTGAACTTCCAGAGAACCCCTTGGATTATAGGCATGAGCTACCACACCTAGTCATAAATGAAGTTCTCAAAATTCTAATTCACTGATTCAAGCTGAAAAGCCATTCACTCTGCATTCCTATATTTAACAGGCATATAGGTTAAAGAGACTTGTTTAATGTGATAGGATAGCAAAACATGGGGTTTCAAATAAAGATGTTCATGCTATAGTAGTACATCCCCGCTTCCCCATTCTCATATATCTATTACAGCTCATGTCTGAAATATAGGGGACAGTATTTTTTTTCCAATTTTTAAATAGGAACAAAGAATAGGCCTTAAGTGTTCTAAAAAGAAGCCCTCCTAATGCTATTTTTCACCTAATATATTTGATTCTTCAGTTTAAGAAGAAAATAAAAGACCGAGCATTTATGAATCATCTTAATGCATTATAAACTAAAAGCTCACTTAAAATATATAACAGAAAAATATTCTCATATCTAATCTATGGCATCATGTAAATGTCTGAACTTTATCGTTTCAGTTA